ATATAGAATAATTACAACTAAACATACAAATACGCACTCAAGATGCGAGTGGTACAGTAAGTTGCAACTTTCTTTAGTCGTACACGTTCGTATCTATCCCTGCGCGGTGTTTATCACCTGGTAGCACACTGGTCTCGGAAACCCACTCCTCTCCGATCCTTCTCCACTCATGGGACCACAAGGTCAACTTTCCAACATCAACGTAACCTCAGTGTTTGTAACGGATTATGAATTCAAATTGTCCCCCCCCCCTAATTCTCAGCTCTGACAGCGTGGGTTTCATTGCTAAACATTGTGACTTTAGTAAAAAAAAAAACGACACAATTGGTTATTAAATTAAATAATATTGGTCTCACGTCTCTTGTCATGCATAAACAAAACCCGGTAACCCATTACCATTTCGGATCCACTATATTGTCCCACAGCCTTTGTGTTAATGTTCGTAATTTTTAACAAGTATAAACACGAACTGAGTTGATGGGGTAGTAGCAATTTTCGGATTGTTTCTTTTTTTTTTAATATCACAACATCACATAAAAGTGGGGGCTATTTGACAAATTTGACAGTTTCACAAACTGTTTGAGAGGTAAACGTTGACTTCCGGATTGGGTACAGCCTTTGATGACTCATCACCAATGCTGGCCAAGTATGGACATAGAAAAAAAGAGTTCATCGCACAAAATGCATATTTGCAAATAAATTTGTAGTTTTAAATCATAAATAGACTTCATAGTATGTGGCAATATAGGTCGGATACAGTGTGCACACTGTGGCCATCCATCGATACTCCACAAACTGTAAAATGGAATAGGGAGTCATGACACACCTGTAAACTAGAGACTCATTCAAAAAAAAACATATACTTCACATCGATAACAACGAGACTTTAAAATACATGTGCCATAAAACGGAATTATCATGGCCCCGCCTAAAAGTTATAGCACACTTGGCACGTAATTCCTGTGCGAGGCAATTGAACGGGAGAGTTTGGACGGGAGTTAATTTGGGGCATGGTGTGGTATCTCGGTCTTGGTGGTAAGTCAATGAAGTGCAAATGAAGAACGTGGTTGCGAACATTATATGTGTTTTCTGTTACAACAATACAATTACAATACTTTATGTATTTTTCTTCGCGTAATAATTGTCGTTTTAAATAGTAGATGATTAGCCCTGTGTCAGCTTGAATTCTTTCAGCTGTGTTGAATAGTGGAGCAAAACACATAATGCAGTCATTCTGTCCACTTCTACACGGGGCCTCCGTTCACCGCGGTGGCTGTTGCTGTGTCAGGTGAGGTATTTTCACTGTATCGCTCTGTTTGTTCTAAGTTTCGTGTTTAAATACTATTGAAAACTCGGGCAACACATTAACGTGAAAAAGAGTGTCATCATGCTTTCTCGGCCTTGTTCTTCTAAATGACAAAAATAGGAAGTTGTTCTAAAACTTGCAACTTTCCTATCGATGTATAAGATAGTATATAACAGACTGGAATCTAAGCATCGCCAAGTCTATTTCAAATAACAGACTGGCATCTAACCAAGTTCATTTCAAATAACAGACTGGCATCTAAGCAAATCCATTTCAAATAACAGACTGGAAACTAAGCAAGCCTATTTCAATTCGTTCTTTAATCCTTGTATCTAGCTTACATAATTGGCATATTTAATATGGCATTTTCGCGGTCCCCAATAAATGTTACAGATGATATACCGTGCAACTGTAACTGACCGATTTCTGGTCAGTTTTATAGAGAAGTAACGGCACAAACATGACAAATAGACAGTTCCCTAATCTGTAAATACGACCAAAATGACAACTAATAACCGATTTATCGACGTCGAGAAATGATATATCCTTAGAGTTTGCAAAAGAGACAGTTTGAACCCTAAAGGTGGGATCAGTGCCTAGTAGAGATTAGTTACATGAACTGGGTTATGAGTTGACTCAAATATATCACTTTCAAATTGGATAAAAAGTCTTTTAATTTCCAGAGGAGATAAGGTAGTCAAGAATAACCATTTCCATGCACTAACTTCATTTAGACCATTTAAAATATAAAAGTGCAGTAGCAAGTTTTGGTCATTGCCTATAACAAAAGACACCATTTGTGATCGCTTAAAAAGTGGTCCCATTTCCGGAAAAAAAATCAGGTTTGAAAAAGGTTATTTTAAACGGATGATTTCTTGTTGTTGGGTTGTCAAACACACAGCATCCTTAAAAAACTGACCAATTAAAGCGGTCCCAGTGCCCATACTTCCGGAGCTTTAAGTACACCGAAGCGTTCATCGCGCTTGCATGAATTTTTAGTCTAATACAATGTATAATGAATTGTTGTTTTATTGACTGGGCGCAGTCTGTATAGCATATTGCTTATTAATAATTGAGGCAGCAAACAGATTTGTAAAAAGTACAGTAGTGGGAGATGTGATGGTGTCGCCTACGACGCTTTGATGTACCCCGCCTAACCCAGTCGAGTACGCTAGAGTGCGACGGTCTAAAGTGACAGACGGGTTCGAAGTATTTTCTAGAAAAAAACACACACAGACACTTTCTATGAATTTAACAAAGTTTGGAACCGCAGTAAGGTTGGTCGAGGACTTCTGTGAGTTGATCTGGGCTCCTGGGACTAATTTAATATGATATTTGACTGATCTTTTTTGCCGAAAAGTGGCTACTTCTTTCCGTGGTACGCTCCTCGGCAAACGCACGAATTAAACGACTATGAATTGTGTTGCGTGGGGACCGTCTGCTACCCTACCACTCGCCGTCACCACAAATATAAGTCCCGTTTTTATGTGGGTATGAGAGAAACCCGAGGGTACTGAAACTCGCCGATGATGACCCCCCTTCGTTTTCCCTTAGTTTTTGCAGACAGTTTTAATGAGTTGGGGGTTGTTCAATAATAGCTAGGCTCATCGTCGATATCACTATTCACTGCATACACAAAGGACATGGAAAAGTCTTAATGTTATTGACAAATAATATAATGAAGACAAGAAAGGGAAATTCGATTTCTTTTAAACAACGATGAATCGACGGTTGTTCATTTGGACAACTATTTACAGGCCGTCTTCACGCTCCTTGGCCCATGAAAAAAAAAACGAAATTTGGTTCTGTCCGACTGTAACCGCCATCGGTGTATGTTTATATCGGCCGTCCTTGTTTAATATAACAAAACCGATGCGCCAACAGCTAGGTTTGCAGCAGTTCACACACATGCCCTCTTTCAACGGCACTGTAGTAGCTAAGCGATCTCGTTATCCCCTATTATGGCATAAAGCAGCGCTAAGTTAGAACAGGCTCGACAATAGAACGCACCGGGTAGTACGCCACACTCTTTTAACTGTTCCTAGGGCAGGCTTACACAGACAAGTAAGTCATGAATAGGTTTCAGAAAGGAACTCGAGTCAGTAGTGCAGCATGCTCAACACTTTTCGCTACTCCTGGTGTTGATACTACACGCATACACTCTCTCAAGGTAGAAAGTACGCTTACAAATTACACTTGTGTATTTTTTTAAATGTTAATGTGAAAACGGTTGGATTTACTAGAGTATATCCGAAACAATGAAAAACAAATATGTAAACAAGTGCGTAGATGTTCATTTCGTTTCCGTGTTTAGCGGATAGTGATATCGAAGCGAGGCAATATACCTTTTATAAAATTGTAGCTCTCTTTTTTCTGGCAAGTAATATTGTCACTTTCGAAAACTCCGTAGGGCAATACATGACCTGTCTGTCTCCGTGTAAATACTACTCGCAGAATTCAGCGATGTGAACTTTAAGCAGAAATAAACGGCATTTGTACTAATCTAAGGTTGTTCGGTGTAGATATTTAGTAGAAGTTATTACGAGGTTGGCGACACTGTAAAACACACCGGTGTGGCTCTGACGTTCCGTCGTTTCTATAATTTTGACAACTGAGCTAAACTCTTTAATTTACTTGAAATGTTTTTTTTTTCAGTGTAGACACCGCGTGCGTCTGCAATGATCTGACTGATTCGAACTTTGTTTTTGTTCAGGTGTCGCGCTGTTTTTCCGCCTACAACTATAAAGCAACGTGCAAATTTCATCTGGTTTTTGTGATCAGCTGTATGGATAGTGGCGGTCTCTTTGAACCTCTTATCAATATTTGCTATGGTGAAATTATACACAGATATTATCGGCAGAAGCAGAACGTGCACATAAAACGCGGCAATTGCCGTCTTTCCGTTTTAGATACGGCGCAAGGATGGCCAGGAGTGGTTGACTAGGCTTTGCTTAAACACACAGCACTTGAGGGGAACAGAGAGGGTAAAAATGAAAATTACAGTTTGTATTACAAGAGCGATTTAGATAAGACCGACAAGTAAACGCCATTGCGCGTCATCATTAGTACCGATAAAAATCTAAACTACATGCCAGAGCCGTGTAAGATGTCAATGCCGTCGGAGTGACAACATAATATTTAAAAGATGATGATGTAACGCACCAGACTCGATACGTAAAACAATTTCTAGTTTATTTGCGTACATACGACCGATTGCCTCAGCGTAATGTTTTGAACAAATACTTATAGTAACGAAGGGATGCCGCTACTGTGTACATATACCATAACAAATAGGACAATCCGAACTTAAAATACACATAATTTTAATCTTACAAAAGAAACAAGGTTTTAGAGTTTCGATCTCGGTAATCCTAACAAAGTAAAACAAAAAAATCCGACGTTTGATCATTCCGTCCACGGTATAGTAAAGGACTGTTACTTGTAGGAATTTCAAAATGGCGATTTCACCAACGGTACTGAGTCGTCTGTATACATTTGAAGCCCCTGCATGTTTGTTTTGATTAGTCACAGGCCAAACATGCTGGTCCAAAAACAAATGACCGACCAGTTTTACCGATTTATCAGTTTACACATTGACAAAACGCGCCAGAAAACAAAAATACACATAAATGATATCACTACTCGAAGAAGGGACTACCAACGCAATGGGATGATTACAAACAACAACATCGTATAGAATCAACAGAAAAAAAGTTATTTATATTTTCAATTATATTCAAAAAAGTACGTACAGTAGAATTTATTTCATGCATACAGTCTTTCGTCATTAAATGTAAACGAAACAACATACATACATACAGAAAACTATTATAATTTCCATCCACTCGCTTATCGCCTGGCCTTTTCTCTGCGCCATGTGCTGGATGATAACATTGGAGAGAAAATGTGTATGTATATATTACAACTTCTACGCCTCTCGCTACTACACTGACTACAGAAATTAGATGAACCAAGTCTAAAAGGAATACGAAATTAACATCATGTAAAAAAAAACGCAGGCCAAAAAAATCACAATTCAAAGATCGGTGGGAGGAACGATTTGAAACGAATCAATATTTGCGCACAGGACGAGAAAAGCCCAGCTGTTAAAGTGAATACAACAGACAACTCCTCCGATTTCGTCTATTATGCCTTTGATTTCGCGGCGATATGACTAGAAAATATAATAGATAGCGTTGATTGAAGACCAACACATAACGTTTTGCATGATACATTGTAAGTGTAGATTTAATATTGCATTTTTTCCCCTCAAAATACTGCCAAAACATAATGTGTTCTCGTCATTGGGCTTGAGAGTCTACAACACCATTCTGGACATAAATATAACGTCATAGTAGTCTTAAATTAAATAATATTAAAAAATAACGTTTTGGAGTTAAAATATGATTTTTTCTCCTACTTTTACCTCTGTTTTTTTTCTAGGTCACCGTGTGAAAACGTCAAAGCCAGCCAATAACTTAGGTGATATAATACAAACGCCGGCCAGACGTCCCCCTTACTATCTACCGTTGTAACAAGCGCTACAAACAATTAAAAACAATTCCCAAAATACAGGCCTGATAATTTTTGTCTTAATACAATTCAGTGATCATTCATATATATAAAAAAGTATCTGTCATAAATAGACTGAACAGTATTTTCAGAGCTTAAAGAATGTTTTTTTTTTACAGTCATACAGACAAGACATTACCTTCAGATGGACCGTAGGATGCCCTGTACGTTAAGTTTTCAGTGCAGTGTTATGTTAAGTCACAGTTCATATGCAGTGTCGCCTGACGACGACACGCGGCATCAGTGCCAGTTCGTCGTCGTACCGCTGCACTGTACGCAATGTCTTTCCAAACTTGACGGCAAAGGGGTTGTAAACGCGCTGATGCCGTTGTGGTGATCCGTGTGTCTCAGCGATGACTGTATCGCGGTCGCTGCAGATGGTCGAAACGATGACAGTCCCGTACAGGCTGCGAGGTTAGACTTGTTCGGTGAAGAACCGCTACCAATAATATTTTCAATGGAAAAGACGGGCCTACTGGACACCGTCGGGTTACATGACGATACCACAGTCGATGCGAGACTGAGTGGGAAAGTGTTCACTAAGTTCAAGTTGCCAACTTGCGGCAAAGGCAGTGGTACTGGTGGGGGTAAAGGTGTGACGTAATGGTAAGGAAGTGGACGAGCTCCATGTCCGAAAAGAAAATGATGGCCATAGGGGTCGGTTGTCATAAATGCTGTCGGTTCGCGTAGTGGATCGGGGTGTTGGCGCTTATATCGCTTTCGTCGCCGAAGAAAGGAACCATTGTCGAACATGTCTTCACTGGCTGGGTCTAGAGTCCAATAGTTACCTTTGCCAGGGTTCCCGGGTTCTCGCGGTATCTTGACAAAGCAGTCGTTTAGGGACAAATTGTGCCGTATACTATTTTGCCAGACTGGAAAACGTTCCCTGTAGTATGGAAACCGATTCATAATAAACTCACAAATGCCACTGAGCGTCAGTCTTTTTTGTGGCGATTGCAGAACAGCCATAGTAATCAGAGCAATGTACGAATACGGCGGTTTCACTAAATTGTTTTTCTTTTTCGTCGAATCGTCCCCATCAGTAGTGTCGCCGGTAGTGGCATCATCGTTCGCAATAGTTGTTTCTGTAGACGTGTTAACTGAATGATCAGAGTCGTCATGTACGACGATGTCGTCCGTTGTTGATGCCTCACTTTCTGGCGGTGTCTGAGGTAGACTATCTTCCATAATATCAATATTTTCCTGGTCATACACCGCCGCATCGTGCGTGATATGTTCCCTGCCCTGATGGCTTGTTTCGCTCTCAGCCATCTCCCTGTTATCTGGAGAGGCCGCAGATGTCATTTTGAAGGTGGCGTGGGGTGGTAGCTGTTCGTCCTGCTGTTGCGGCCGTACAGTGTACGCAGTACTGGCAAGCACTGCGTCGGGTTTCCAGTCGGATCGCATTAGCTCACGCTGCAGTTGAGACTGAATACGGGTGTTGGAGAAACTAAGTGTTGGCCAGTCACCAGAGTTCCGAGGACTACCGTAGTAACTGCGGCTATCAGCGAGAAATGTTGTTTTGGGTAACACTGGTCGAGTTCACAGTAGCACACACATATACACACACACACGTTGGATCACCAAAATGTGCTCGTTGACTGTTTGGTATTGAACTGCGGAACGCAAACTTAGAGAGCCCACCTACTAGGAAACGTTACTGAGTCTAAGTGAGCCACCTTCCGTCGAACTTCTCCCTCTCTATGAGTTGACTGCTGGTCACGTGACACACGGGTTTTTTGTGTATGTAATTTCCATAACAATTCATTTACGGGGCAAGGGTCCGCCCACCTCGATAATTAGACGGTTCATTCTGCAAACAATACATACGTAAACTTAGCCGTGCTGCATTCTAGCGTCGGCTACTATGGAATGGAAACGAATAACCACAAACAACTACCGAAATTGTTATGTTGATATCTACAAAAACACAGACGCAAAGCAAGGAGGATTAGACAAACGTTTTTTTTTTTGTATTTTGTCACAGAACTGCGACGAATAAAGGCGAGAAAAAAAAAAAAAAACTAACCAGTGCAGCGCCCTCTGGCAGCAACCGGACGACTTATAAATCATTTTCATGTTATGCTATTCATTTAGTCATCAACACTACTTTTGATTGGCCAGTTTATTTGTTAATGTTAATACTAGGCTTTCCTAAGAGGCGGGACGACATCAGTTGCTCTGTTGCTAAGCAAACGCCTCTCGGTTGCCCAGAAACCAACAGATAGATAGGACGAAATCTTCAAGTTACGCCGCGAATGTATCCAGTCGTTGTTTCTCGGCAGGCCTATCAGTGTGACAGAGATCTGTCGTGTGCCGTCCTCTATCTCATAGAAATTCAGAGAACCATTGTAGGAAGTCGAAGCTGAAAAAATGGCAATCGTAACGCAGTAACGGTAAGATGGATAGGGAGCTGAGCGGATTTAAGAGGCACAGACTGCCCCTGGAGAAAGTGTGCATTGCAGACAAGTGACACGTTGTTTGTACAATAAATCGAGATACGCGGGGTTGTGTTATGATTGTATTTTCACACCCTTTCCCATCGATGATTTATCTCTGCGATTCATATCAACAACTCGGGAACAATAAAACAGATGCAATTAGGGTAATAGATTTATTCTGACACTACAAATTGTCACATTTTAACTACTTATGTATTTTATGTTACGAAACTAAACGACTTAAAACGAAGGAAGGTGAATCATTCACATTACACTCGTGAAAGTGAAATGGATTTAATCAGCCCCGATGATGAATTGGTAGAAAGGGAAATTTACATCAGGTAATGGCTTTGATTTACCCTCTGTTGGCACTAACATTCTAATCCGATCTCTTCGGTCAAGATTATCCAGCAAATTGTACACGTTTTATTAGTGTCAATTCATAAGCTCACTGGTTTGCAGAAACAAAACGGGCCTCTTTTTCAACATGTTTTAGTAGACACCATTGTTTAAAAAGAGATACGGTTTTCATAAACAAACATCAATCTGGGTGACCTCTCATTGGATTGGCAGCACATGTCCAGCCTACCATTCACAGAATCACTGACGGACGACGACGGAACTATCATACGCCCTCATTACGTGTGATGTGTCACGGGCTGTGATTGGCTGCATAGGATTCGCGCGATTGCGAAGTAAATGGTTGTTTTCGAGAGAATAAAGCAACTCATATTATTGAACTACAAAAAATAATAAACGATTATGCAGACATATCACCGCGTTCACCTGGTTTTCATTCTCATATGAATACCACCGTCGGCACGGTGCGCCAACTTGAAGACAGTCCTGGAGAGCCTAGGGCTATGTTTACTCGACCGGTGTTAGTACATGAAGGGAAAACAGTATTGGATTCAATTGCAATGTTTATATTTTATTATTAAATAGTCACCACATTAACACTTTTTTCACTTAAAAACAACATAATTATCACAGATTGTCAGAGTCACAATTGCACGTTGTTATGCGTACACGGAAGCAGTTAGTTCCCGGTGATCATCATGATACAAAATCTCCACGCCATCCCATGCCCAATATTCCAGTTTCGTCAACAAGCAGTGCTGTTAAAAGCGCCTCGCAGTATGTCCACTTCCAGATTTTTGCCTAAAAATAAAATAAAACGCACAATATTAATAATAGACATGACGAAGTCACGCAATAACAGTTGAGAGCCAACGTCAAGTTGAACGCGTTAAAATCAGATGGGTAAAATACGGATGCCATGGAGAATTTCGCCAAAATTATTGAAGGTTAGCCCCACTACCCCCTTTCAAGATCTGCTACCCTGAAAATATTATCGCATCGCGCGCTGCCCCCTATCCCGATTGCTTGTATATGCCTGCCCCCCCCCCCTATACAGGCACCAACACAATGAAGCGCAGTCAAAACGGTCTCAGATCAGTTGCCGTGTAATTTGTGTGACAAACGAGGACAAATTACCCAAACAAAACCCTTGCCTGGTAATAATACCCTCAAAAGACAGCGCGGACATTGACTGTCCTGTATGTTACAGAGCAGAAATAGGGGGAACGTGCGCGAAATATTGACGGTAATGATGGTGAGTGAGCGGCACGGACGATTTTTTTTTCAACGATCACTCGGCCCTCTACGTTGATTTCCACGC